AAAGACACTGTATGAGTGTAGAAACACAGAGCTTGGGGAGGCATTAGCCGACCAGGATGATTTCTGATGAAATGCAATCAGCAACACAAGGGAGATTTAATGCAGAAAGGTCTAAATTTGTGTATGTGCGTATACGTGCATGTGTACCGTACAGAGTATTTATGTGGATGTGAGCAGACGCAGAAAACCAGTTTTCTGAAGCTAACAGACCTTTCTGCCACTTAAGGGCCTCTGTACGCTACACTTAAGGGAAGGAGAGAGTAAGGAGAGTATTTCCATATCCTCTCCAAGGATAAATACATTCCAGCTTTGAGGTTTTCAACTCTCACTTTCCCCTTACAGCAGAATGAATTTGCATGAAGTATGTAATTGACTTACATGCAACAACTAGAGGTGTTTTTTTCCCCCCTTTCTCTGGAAATTTCATCCTTGGAGAGTATACAGCAGGAGTGTTGAATTCCACATTCAAAGAGAGACGGATCGTGTATTCAGGCGTACAAAGGCTTTCGCCAGCCTTCTGCCATAAAAAGCACTGATCTGCTACATCAAAAACACGGAACCTATTTGAGCGCTTTGAGGCTGTTGAACAGTACCTGAATCATATTTTCATCTCATCCTGAAGCACTACTCCACCCTGAAAGCTTAGCTTTCATTGGCAAAAGGCACTGAAGCATTGTTCAAGCTTGATGATGGCCAACCTATAATGCAGCTCATACACAACCTCAATAATTCAAAGTTGAGCGCTTGCTGCTCTTGTCAGCTTTCATTTTAAGTGGGAAAAGCAGCTACTGTCAAATCTGGGGCATGCGGAGGTTTTCTGATCTGTCACTCCAAGGTCCTGTATCCCCTGAGTTTGTAACTGTGTGTGTCGACAGGTGTGTAAGTGTGTGTTCACCCTCTGCAGCCTCTTCTGGGAGCGGCGTATCAGGTGAGGTCTGCTGACAGAACTGGAACTGTCATTTCACACAGGGGGGAATTAATTTTTCTGGATTTGCCAGCGTGTCTCTCTCTGTCTCTACCTCCCCATCTCTCTCCTCCTCCTCCCCCTCTCCCTCCACCCTCTGAGCTGACTTCATCTCTGTGCTGCTTTATTCATGCTGTGATGCGGGTCAGGGCTAGGGAGGGGAACAGCTAAAAATAAGGCAGGAAAGGACTCTGCATGTACAGTCACAAGAAAAAGTAATGACAGTGTTTTCAATTTCCTGGTTTTCTGCATAAACTGATCATGAAATGTGATCTGATCTTCAACAAAGTCACAAATATCAACAAACACAAGATTTCTATGCCGATGAAACACAGTCATGATCTTCCATGTTTTCATTGAATATACCCATTACACATACAAAGTGATTGTAGAAAAACTAATGGCAACACTAGGCTTCTGAAGTCACTAAATTCATACGCCTCATGGGGCAGTGTACTATTCACAAGCAGCATCAGGTGACCTACGATCAAGAGTTGTTGATTTGGCAAGTAGCTGGAAAGGGTCACAGAGTCATCTCAAAGACTTTAGATATTCATTTCACAGGTAGACATACTGTCTACACGTGGATGAATTGGTACTGTGGCTACTCTCTATGGAAGTGGCTGCACAGCCAAATATCAAGCCAAAGGCACAATGCAGAATGGTGAGCGAGGTAAAGAAGAACTCTAGAGCAACAGCTGAAGACTTGAAGGATTCAATGGAGTTTGTTAATATCTCTGTTTAATTGTATGTGGAGCGGTGTGTGTAGGTGTGTGTTTCTGTCAGAGAGAGAGACTGTGTGCTTGGATGTTGAATGTTTGGATACAGTGAGGCAGAAAGAGAGAATACAATATTCTTGTTTGTGTGCATGAGGGAGTGCACGTGCAGTTTTCAATACGACATGAATATTGTTTCCTTCTGACTGTAGTATTCTAATCAACTTCAGTCACTGCAGTTGATCAGCTTCTCAGAGCAGCTAAGTTCTTGGTCTCTTTGAAGCCCAGTAGAGGAAGCTGCTGCCTCAGACAGATATAAACAGATAAAATTCTACTCTGGACTTTAAAAGTAGTCACCAGATACTTTTCTAAAAATTGAAACTTTGGTGTTTGGCGAAGAAAAATAAAATGTTTTTAGACTCAAACTCGGAATTGTTAATCAAGTTTCTTCCCAGGTTTGTCAGTCAGCAGTGTTCTGAAAAACTCAACCAGAGGTCTATAAAATTAGGTTGAAAGTGACTCATTTTCTGGCAGTGAAACAATTGACTTGATCTTGCTGGTGAGTCAGGTCTCAGATTCACCATTTAATGTTGCTTATCTAAAAAAGAAAAACACTTATGTACAGAAATGCTTGAGTCCCATTATTAAAAGTTAAGTATGTTAACGGAGAGTGACAAAATGCCAGGACTTTTACACTGAAGAAACAAAACACACCCTCCACATGGCACAACACAGGAGAGCTAGCTCCTCAGGACAGGATTCAGCAGTCTATTTGCATCTGAAGGACAAGGGACACTCCTTTGAAGTTAGCAGCGTTTACATTTTGGCCAGAGACAACAGATGTTCTGAAAGAGGAGTAAGAGAGGGCATTTTATACTTTGTATTCCCAGGAACTAAAGCTCAAGAAATGCCCCATGGGTTAAAAGACATCAAGCACATTGTGATGTGCATTTCAACAGCAGGGCCAGAGCCCAGGGGAAGGTTAAACAAATTAGTCCACTGCTGTAAAAGCACGATGGGCAGCAGCAGGGTTTTAAGAAGACACCTGCCCATCAGAACTGATGAGAGGACAGATGACACCTCTTAAAAAGAACCTCAAGCAAGTCCACTTGCCAATTTTACCACTTTGGATGTACTACTTGCACCACTCTGATAATGTTTTCATAATATTTGTGTTATATTCTCAACCTTTCTGTCTGCAATGAGCATCTTTAATACCCTTGCTTGGTAGTGGATGGAAGGCTGGTAGTATTATGTCTGCTGCATTAAAGCTAATAGAAATGTCCAGCAGTTAAATTTCAGTGTGACCCTACTACTATATTTATGAATATATGCATATTCAGAGATTCTGGATTTTTCAAAGGAGAAATGTATCTAATTTTAACAATTTTTAACAATACCTGAATTTTCTTCTGCAGAAGAAACTACAGTTTTGTGTGTTTTAAATCTGCAGGGGTTCTTTAAGAGATCAAAGACAACACAGTACTGTAATCTGTAGTATATCAGTGCATTTCCATCCAAAGTAATATAAAACTGTTACACCCACAAAGATAATTTAGATCAATTATCCATGGCCTGATAACATTCACTGTTTATTTTACACAACATTAGGTGGGACACCTAACTGAAATATAATTCTGCCCAGTACTGCTAAAACAACATCCAATGTAACATCGCCACTTTTAAAAAGGATCCAGGGGACTAGCACAGATTTTTTGATTTGATTTGATTTATTCTTTCAAGCATGTAAAGACAGTTGATATGACAACACACATAATTTTACACATATCCAACAAATGCTAATCCAATATCAATTTGTTTATACCTAGTACATGCTTGAATGGAGTAGGAAGAAGTCAGACTTATCTAGTCCTACCCCCTGACATCATCTTACCATCATTGGTTTGCAAGCAGTATCTCTACATAAATAATTCTCTTCTACGCCACACAAGTAACATACTAAAGAATTATTACAGAGTATTAACATTCATACACCACACCCACAATGTTCCATCTAATTAATCATTGAGCCTGTTCTTGCATATATCTTGATTGACACATACCTTTATATTTATGTTTAAACTCATCAATTC